AACACTTTGTTTTATGCTAGTAAAAGATGTGGACTTTTTGTCATGTCCAATGCTACTTACTGTTTCTAGTAGTCTTCCCAGGAAGCAACTAAGGGAGAGCTTTGTCTGTGCCATCAAAGAAAAACATTACTGAAGAGCTAGAGCAGAGTAGCACAGTGATGTCCCACCAGGCTGGTCTTTGTGGTGGTGATGCATCTGGTGATTAATCTGCTGGTGATATCTTTCTTTTCTCCACTATTGCCAACATTTTTTTAACCCTATTTAAAGGAGGCTACAAAACTATTCCCTCCAGCTAGTATGCATGTACCTTCTGCATCTTTACAATTTTGTCTAAAACCATATCTTCCTGCAGTTGTATAGTCTATTTTAATGAAAACATTTGGATCATGATTTGCTACCAGTGGCTCACCGAATGACAGCATTATTAACACCATCGCCTCCATTCCCTTACCATTTGTTAACCAAGTGCTAGTGTACTGAAACTAATTTTGTGCAAAACTCAACCACCAGTGAAACCTCCTTCACTTCTACTACCCTTAGTCATAGCATTTTGGATATAGAGCACAGTGACACTAAGCAACAGGGACAATAGAAGACATAGTCCTCATCATCCCAGGGACATGTCCACCAGCCCATTTTTGAACATTTTGTTTGATTTCATTCTAGGTGTACATCAAAATAGCAGATTAACAAAATCACCCTTATTGCCCAGCTGATCACTGTAGTGAAAGCTTTCTTTTCTATGAAAGAAGAAGAGTTCTTTATGCAGCTACGACAGGCCATTGCTTCCAAAAATGCTATGTAAAAATATGGCTGGCTAGGGCTCTAGGTCAGTCAGTACAGTTCACCATAGATTTCTGAAGTGCACCCAGTGACCATCATTCATACCTTTCCTTTACAGTACATTGGTGGCAACTCCTGGTGCCTGGGTGTTGTGGTGGTAGTGGAGGAGGCTCAAAATTTTAAGCACATGAAGCTGGGGGTGAATCTGCATGGCAGCAGGTCTATCAATCTCACCTGCTACATGCTCTTGTAATGGATAAAAAGCACACTTTAGAAAACATCTTGCAGGCAATCAGATGACAAATTGGTTGGGAGAGCTGACATAAAGTGTACATTGGGTTTGAGGTCATTGACAACGCTACTACCGGTAACTTGTTAAAACATCTTTTAGGAAAGAGTGCAATTCACAATGACAAAACAAAGGTGCAAACAATACTTTAGTGTGAGGGCTAGTCAACTCTTGAAGGAGGAGCAAGAGATAATAGGGCACACACCATTTATGGTAGGATGTAAGCATGTAATGGGATTCCAACATCCACTTTAGTTTTAATAATATAATACGGATTGTTGCACTTGCATTCACTTTTGTAAATTGTTTCTATGGTGATTATATCACATGACTGGTGGTCATGCAATGTACCAGGTGAATCTGAAATGTTTTTGAGAGTCCATCTCCTATTTTTTGTTTCCAGCATTTTATTTAGCTCACTGTGTCATATGTTAGCTTGACAAAGACTGGTTTATCAGTTAAAACATTGCTATTTTGTACACTTTGGACACTCTAATAGGTTAGGGTTGTTAAGGAGTGCCAGAATTTTTTTATTTGTACTGGTTGGTGTTGTTCCCTTGTTCTGTATTTTATTTTAAATGATCTTTGATTTGCAGTAAAAGAGAGGCATGGAAGTTTTTTTTAGATTTAACTTAACATGTTGTCATTGTCTGCCAGTTTCAGCAGCAGTGGCAGCAGCATTATCCCAACACAGCATCTGTGATGTGGACTGAGGCTGTTGGCAATTTGCAGGGAGAAAATGTATCAATCAGCAAGTGGCCAAAAGGAGACTAATGCCTCAAAAATGCTTAACTGTCAATATGTGCTTTGCCTCCTAGTGATGACCTTTCAGCTACTAGGATTAGAAGAGTGTGTGTCTTTCTTTCCTTCTCTCTGTCTGGATTCCAAAACCTTTTGTCATGTTTATCATCCACTGTCCAAATGAGCAAGTGTTTTCTCTTGTAGTTAACATTCCTAATCTAAAATGTTCACAGATAGCTTCTCAGCTGATGGAGCAAATAACATTTGTTAAATTCAAGCTCCTCAAATCGCCATGTTTTTATTGAACACACCATGTAAACATTCACAGTGCAGGTGGAAAAAGCATAAAGCACTATACGTTTCACAAATAAGAACATTGTAAGTACTAATAATATAACAATTCATAACGTGGAAAAGTTAAAATGCTCACAGATAGCTTCTCAGCTGATGGAGCAAATAACATTTGTTAAATTCAAGCTCCTCAAATCGCGTTACCCTGCTCTTGGGTTTCATACTAGAGGCATCATAAATTGCTATCTGAGATCCAGCTGGCAACTCAACCCTCCCTTAAAAGCAGTTTCTAAATGTATAAATATTTTCTAAAATAAATAAATAAAGGAAAACTCCTGCAACCATAACTGGAATGATGTTATGGTGCCACGAGGTCCTTGAGCTTACCTTCGGAGGTTAAACTGTTAATGAATGGTTTAATCCTAAACTCTGTATAGCTCTGTCCCCTTCACATCTATTTGAGTCTGTGACTTCAAACAGCCTAAAACTGTTCTCAATTAATTTGCTGACAGTGTCAGTAGCTCCCCATTCACAAATAAATAATATCATTTTTATAATAATTTTATATAATTGCTATGCTTGGATTAATACATATATACAGTTGCAAGAAAAAGTATGTGAACCCTTTGGAATGATATGGATTTCTGCACAAATTGGCCATAAAATGTGATCTGATCATCACCTAAGTCACAACAATAGACAATCACAGTCTGCTTAAACTAATAACACACAAAGAATGAAATGTTGCCATGTTTTTATTGAACACACCATGTAAACATTCACAGTGCAGGTGGAAAAAGCATAACACACTATACGTTTCACAAATAAGAACATTGTAAGTACTAATAATATAACAATTCATAACGTGGAAAAGTTATATGCTATCAGTTTAATTTAGCACTCGACACTTGCCCTGGAAGTTTCACTATTTATTAGCAATATTGTGCACCTTATTTTTCATATGATATTGCTTCCAGCTGTTCACTCTCTAGTTTCCCCTTCCTAGCTAACCACAGTATGGACACCTCCTTGGAAGTAAAGCTTAAGTTAAACCTTTACCTGCTACACATGGGTGAGTGGTGTAGGAGGTAGTCCACCTCTGTGCAGTGGCGGATCCAGAAGCTAATCTTGGGAGGGGCACTGGCAGACCATTTTAAGAAACAATCCAGGCATAATAACCACTACAGCTCTCTGTAGTGGTTTTGGTGCCAGGAGTTGCTGTGGCACCCTCCCAGAGTAAGTAGTCAAACTGTTTAAAAAAACTTACCTAGGGTCTGCCGAGATAGGGGCTGTAGTGTGTATGTGTGTGAGGGGTGCAGTGTGTGTGAGGGTCGCAGTATGTGTATGGAGGGGTAGTGCATGTGTGAGAGGGGTGCAGTGTATGTATGGGGTAGCAATTTGTATATTATGTTTGTGTGTAAATGGTGCAGTGTGTGTATTGGGAGCAGTGTGTTTGTGTGTGAGTGGCGCAGTGTGTGTATAGGGGCTGTGTGTGTATTGGGGCTATGTGTGTTTATGGGGGGCAGTGTGTGTATTGGGAGCTATGTGTGTTATGGGGGGGCAGTGTGTTTATGGGGGGCTGTGTGTGTAAGGGGGGCTGTGTGTGTAAGGGGAGTGCTGTGTGTGTGTAATAGGGGGCTGTATGTGTAAGAGGGGCTGTGTGTGTAAGGGGGGCTGTCTATTTGTGTATGATGCAGTGTCTAAGGGGTTATAGTTTGTGTGAGGGGATGGGGCAGATTAAAGATATATATTTTTTAAATTATTAAATAATTACAAAAAATATAGTTAATGTCCCCCCTCCCTTCTTACCTTTGCTGAGGGAGGGGGAGACATTGATTTCTTTCCAGTCCCTGGTGGTTCTAGTGGGAGAGTGAACTCTAACTTCTCAGCTCAGGCTAGATTTCACTCTTGTGAGAATGGAGCATTGCCATGGAAACCGCGGCAACGCTCCATGATTGCGAGAGGATAACCCGGTGGAGCAGGGTAAGAGCTCCCCCGGGTTCTCTCTCTCTCCCTCCCTCCCCTACTGGCCATCCAGCAATGTGCCTCTAGGCCGGGGATAACTGATCTCCCCTCCGGTCCTTGATTGCAAACAGCAGGGCTGGCGCTTGGATAGCGCCAGCCCTGCATGGGCCGGCAGAGGAGAGCCTCGGACTCACTATTTTCTCAGGGGGGTGGGGGGTGTGGGGCAATTGTTCCGTTGCCTCCACCAGATCAGCCAATGCCTCTGTGTCAATTGAGTTCTAGTTTGGGATGTGATTAAGAGCTGAAACGATTTACATTAAATATGCTTATTTCATATCATAACTAAATTAACAGAATTGGAATCATAAAAATATCTGAAATAGTGTGGTATGCCTCAGCGAATAGCAAACAAATAGATTTCTTTAGGCTTCACCAGTTGAATTTGCCAATTTTGCCCACAATGAATCAAACTGTAGGCCAAAACAGCAAAACTCAAAACATAGATGACTTGGAGATTTTTTTTACAATTTGACTTTTTTTTGTTTAATTTTAAATTCACGTTGAATTACTTGCAACTGCTTACTATCGTTTTTACTCGTAGCATAGACATTGTGCTAAATATAAATAGAAGCATGCCCCTCTACTTCCCTGCACACTGGCCTCGCTTGCCTATATTTTACTGTGTTCAGTTTCTCAATAAGACTACAGAATACCTTAATTAAGTAATGTTTACATTGAGTCTGTGATGCGGATACACAATGTTTTCTTCATGGCTGCTATTTAAATAATACGTATACATTTTTTTGACATTAGAGAGGTTTGTGGTTTGGATGGAATACAAAAAATGTGCTCCTATGTTTAATATCTGATGATGTAATTGTATCTGAACAATATAAAAAGAAGCAGACTTGCAAGGTGTTTATGATGCTCTAATAGTCATAGACTCTGAGGCAGTTGCAGACTTTGAAAACTCTTAACACAATGAAAATATTATTGACTGTCTTCTTATGTGGGCTTGCCCTCTGCTATGCTGAAGATGATAAACTAGGTTTGTAACTTGTTAAGTATTTATGATAAATTATTAATGTTCCAGTTAATTTTATTTGTATTTGAAATGAATGCTTATTTTATGTGCAATATATATGTATATAATCTTACTTCCTTATTTTTTTTTTTCTATACAGTGGCCTGTTTGGCAAAAGCATTTCAGGTAACAATATTATAAAATGTTTAAAACGTTTGCTTGTCTAGTTAAAACATATCACAAATAGATTTGCAAATGTTGTCAATTATTTTCCTTCTTATATATAAAACTGTTATATATTTGCTGTCAATCTGTCAATGTGTATCTTAATTCATTTGTAAAAATAATGTAATATTTACACATTTTAAAGATTTCAATAGAGGTTGGTATCATGGAAACAATTGTTTGAATTGATCCCTTTTACAATATTATTTTCTGTTTTCAGTTCAGATGGCATAACCATGATCAGTTGAAGCCTAGTGAGAACAGTAATGTTTATTTCCCAAAAATACCTACAGCTGAATTAAATCTATCTTTCCCTTTATAGAATATATATTTGTCAAATATTGTTGCCACATGTAAAGGTTTCATATGTGCTAGTGATTACATTTGTTTTAAAATAGACAAAAGTATAAAATAAGTTCAGATGATATGTCACCCACAAATAATGATTGTTTTGTGCCAAACTTATATTCAGGGATGGGCAGTGTCAAGGAAATCCTGACTTCTGTATGATTTACGGTTCCAGATTAGCATGCTTAGGTTACTGGTCCAGAGAAATCATTTAACACACAGACAGCAAGTCTGTATAAAGATGATTCTGAGTCTTATTGGGAGAGCGAAGTTTTTTATGCAGTTCAGACAAACAAACGTCAAAATAGAATTTCTAACTAGTTTCATATAGTATTCCTGTGATCACATAATCTTCTGAGCGTTATCTCTTGGCAGGGTTCCCAAGTTTCTGCGGGAACAACTCCTGCAACATGCATTATTTTGGCCAAATTTGATATCTGCTGCATATACATAATAACTAAAACTAGCATAGTGAGACAAGATGCAGGGACATAGTGAGACAAGATGCAGAGACATAGTGAGACAAGATGGAGGGACATAGACTCCTATCCTTCACAGGAGAAGATTGACTCCATCTGTTATTGAACACTCTTGAAGCTTTTTCTGGAGAGCTACTCTTTAACCAACCTGGACACTCCTGACACTTAGTGACACTCACTCTTCCATAATTGAGATTTGTTACAAAGAGTATCACAAAGGCATTTATGCTAATTCACATCCTACAGCATTGTACATTAAACATATCAAACTTGTAAGGAAATACTACTAACAGCAAATTAGTAAATGAATCTTATAACTCTATTTTGGGATACAATTAACAAATACTAGCATTCTTAATAGCTGTAATAAAACAGACTAACTAATTGTAAATATTTTCCACTTTTCAATATTACAATATGTGTTTTGAAATTGGCACTTTAACACAATATAAACAAATATTCAGCACTACAAAACGATCATATATGTAACTTGTGACTTATCAACTAAATCTTTTTATAATCTTCAACTATCGCGACTCTCATGAGATGTTTTACTAAACAAGTTTTAAATTGACAATACTAATAAGTTGTGTTAAAATGAAAAACCTCTACAAATTATCATTCATGTAAACTTAAGACTTGTGAAATAAATTTATTCATGATTTTTCTATCTTTTTTTTTAAAGAAATCACCGCCTATTGCTACTTCTTCGATTGATCTTTTTTGTCACTATGGAGAAAGTGTAAGAAATTATGTTTCTGTAAAAATTATTCCTAATAGGAATGCACCATAAAATAAATTTTCAAATATTGAATAAAGAGTTACTCAAGCTCTATGACTACTTCAGGGATTTGAGGTGGTCATGGTGTTTGGAGTCTGTATACCCAGCCTTTTGCTTTGATGCACATATGGAGTTTTGTAGGAATAATTGTGGGACAACAGATTAAAAATAATATTCTGTGAAAATCATGAAACATTAAAATCTTGTTGTGATCTGGACTTTGAGTCCTTCACCATGAGATGGAAGCCCTTCATTGTTTGAATAGCACACACTAGATTTTATAGCTCGGAAGAATCAACAAATCTATTTGTTTGCTGTCTTAGTTAAAGTGGTTAGACCATGGTCTAATAATGATCCCATTTTCTTAATTGTTAATTGTGAGCTGTAGTGTGTGTAATACTCACAGTACAGGTCACAATAATATTCACATTTTCTGGCATAACATGTATGACACTTTAACTCCTTTGCTTCCAGAGGTGTAACTCCACCTCTGCAACATTATTAGGGCATCTTCATCCAGACCTAGAAAAAAAGTCCGAGGCAAACTAAAGTCAATTCTGTGCGCATTCATTTGTTGAGTGGTCAGCTGACACTTGTGATGACAAAATATATGAATAATCCATTTGTTGTGTAGAGAATTTATTATCCAAATGTTGCATCTTTGAGAACATATGATCCCTGTCCTCCTCAAGATGTCTTACTGTGTGGTAAATATTGGGAATCTCCATACTTAAGGCCTGGAATTTGTTCTGAAAAGAAGCAGCAATATAGCCATCATTGATTCAATGTTGATTTATGATGAAAAGTTATGCAGCATTTCTCGAGAGCCAAAGTGCTGGAGTATGAAAATTGTTTTAACATAGGCCTCAATTTAATATTGTTGGATATGCTTTCTAAGCGACAATATTTTTGGATAAACTTTTGAAATTGTTATGTAATATGCTGATATTGTTTGATATTTTAAAAATAGTTTTAAGCGTATAGCATGTAAAAAAATAAAACAATTCATTGGGGGAATTATCCAATAATAGTAAATCGAGGTTATAGGCTGGCTGTGTTGAGGAAGGCTTTGGATAGAGGGCATAAATGCCGTGTTGTCCTTCTAGCTCAGCAGTCTTCAAGCAATTGCAAAAATATTTAGTCAAGTCACCCAATTTTCTCCCAAGGCCTGAGTCAGGTGGGTCCAGGGAGGCTCGAGATTTCTTCCTATTGTCCATAAAAGCAACTGGTGCATCAATTGCACTGGACTTTCTCAGTAAGTTGGGAGCTATCTGAAAACTGGTCTACTTACATAAAAACACCAATGTAAATTTTACTGTGTATAAAGTGAATGGTGGTTAAAAATTAAAAAAAAAAAAAAGTAGCTTTATCTTATCTGCAAGAATATATATCCTATAAATACAGGACTGCATAAAGGATTATTAAAAAAAGTATTTCTGACCAATACCAATTTGAATGACATATACTGTATTCAGTGTTTTAAAGTTAGTTTACTAAACCATTTATGTGGTTCTACAGCCTGAAAAGGATCGGGAGTTACTTAATGGTATCAATGATGCTTGGAAACCAGTTGCGGTAAGAAGACAGTTTTTTCAATAAATATGTGTTAACATTTCAAGAAAATCACATAAATGTTCAGTTTTATTATAAAACTAAACTGCTGATTATAGAAAGTTTCCATTTGATTCCATTTAAATCCTGTTTTCGGTGTGATTTTGGATATGTAATATATAGGGTTATTTACTAATTTGAGACTTCAAAGTGAATTCAGAGTGCCTTTGAAATTTAAGGCCAGAGTAGTCAAACTGAAAGGATAGCTGACATTTATAAATGATAACACTAACTTTGCAATGTGTGTATGCATTTAAATGTTTTCTGTTTGAACTGATTTTAACTTACATAACCTTATATATTATACTTGTGCTGCTTAGAAAGAAGGTATCTGTAACATAATTATAGCTGGGAAGTTTTTTAAATTCTGCAAAGCAAGTACTAGAATTGTCGATGTGTTGTGCACCAAGATCTAACTGTAGTAAGATTAATATTTTATTCTATAGCTCTAATGTACTAAAACTTAGTTTGATCTTCAGAGACTTAATGGAAATTGTTTTCAGGGCAAAAACATGTGCTGTTCTGGGACAAAGAGTTAAACAACCACTTTAAAACAATATTTAGAACTTTACACTTAAAATAACATGTACTATGCTTTAATAAATGTCCTCCATAGCATGAAAGCACTTCCCATGAGTCAAAACACTTACTAGACATTATGCTATGTTAGGTTTGTATTATATGATTGTGAAAAAATGAGTCTAATGTTTGAAATAGTTTACCATGGATTGAGTCTCACTGAAAATATATTTAACAAATACACAAACCCATTTATCACTCAAACATTTTAAATTTTCTTCAAACATTTTAAATTTTCAAGTTGAGCTAAAATTACCAAATTACATTCTATTCTATATTCTCCTTACAGGGGGAGCTTGGTTGTGGAATTAATTCAATTGCAAATATAAATGCGGTAAGTATATAGACTATACATACACAAATCATTACATATCAAGGATGTTGAGATTTGTTTTCCCCTAAGTGCTAACAATGTACATATATATATTTTGATTAACTAAGTTGTTTCAGTTATGCAGATATATAGTTAAGCTAAAGGTTTTCTACTATTTGATTAACTGCTCTAGGAACTACCATACCAATGCACATTACACATGGCCCATTAAAATCAATCATTAAAATGTGATTTCTAAATTAATTATAATAGAAACAACCTCCAACTTTAACTCATTTAAAAAAATGGCTCTTCCTAATTTTGGTCTTCAACTCTTTAGTAGATAGATTCCTAATTTGGTCCCTTTATGAGGAACTGTCATTGTGAAAATACTTTTTTAGGGAGCTATGTACTAAACGTAACAGCTCCCTAATTTAGTTCTCCTTTTAAGGATTGTCGTGTTTAAGAGTACCAAATTAGACAGCTGTTATGTAGATAGTTACCAAACACAACAGCTCCCTAATTCTTTCTTTATGTATAAGTTTAAAAATACATAATTATGTGAGGGGGTAGTGGGAGATCTACTCTAAAGAGCACTCTTATCAATATATCCCTTACAGCTTAGTGTAGTGCAATGCTGATTAGAGTGTCTGGTTATTGTAGTAGTGCAGTCTGGGATCAGGATGGTGATAATTGGCTGAGAGTGCGAGTAGGAGTGTCCAGGTTGGATGGACTTCACGTTGATAATGCAAAAGTGTAGAGTGCTTTTCCACTACAGCTTAGGAGGGAAAGTCTCCATGGTTTGACATAGAACTGTACTGGTTATGTTGTTTACAGTGTCCCTTTAATAATATGATTTGTAACACATTTTATGTTAACAAGCTACATAAATGTAATAAAGTTGGCTTTTATTAAAAACAAAAACAAAAACAAAAAAAAACTTTAGTATTCAGCCTAAATATTATTTTAGGATTCAACTCTTAAAGAAGTTACTGAAGAGGCTGTACGTGTTGTTGGGCTAGTGCTCAAGGCTTTGGTAAGTATACTATTACTATAATACTACTGTAATTCCTTTGTTGCAAGTGAAAATGATTACTAATTATTGTGGGGTATTGTGGTTGTGGGGTAATTAGGGCATAACCCAACACAGAACTCAATAAGAAGATTAGTACAAACTAGTGAAAAACAAGCCAATACCAATCCTATTACCCTTATTAAAGTATTAGTCCAACATTGGAATGAGAAAACGTTAACCTAGACTATTTCCAAGCTGATCATTCTGACTATCTATATAGGATCCATCTGCTTATCCAATTTTATTTATTTTCTATTTTTTCATGTCATCTCATTTTTCTGGCAATGTTTTTTGTGTGTTTTTGTATCATCCTTATAGGGATTTTATTACGTTTTAATTATAAATTTTTAAGGTTTTCTCATTCCAGTGTTGGACTAGTACTTTAATAGGGGTAATAGGATTGGTATTGGGCTTGTTTTGCACTAGTCTGTACTAATCCTCTTATTAATATATTTTTTGAATGGCAAATAGAATTATGCACAATGGGACAGTTTGGTTTTGCTGAATTATTTTACCAGAAACAGAGATTTTGCTTAGGATTTTTGGTGTGATGGTTAACTTCACGTAATGGTTCATTTCAGCATATTTTTGTCCTTGAAAAAATATTCTAGGAAAACAAAAAGGTGCACAAATATACAGTATCTCACAAAAGTGAGTACACCCCTCACATTATTGTAAATATTTGATTATATATTTTCATGTGACACCACTGAAGAAATGACACTGTCCTACAATGTAAACTAGTAAGCGTACAGTCTGTATGACAGTGTAAATTTGCTGTCCCCTCAAAATAACTTAACACATAGCCATTAATGTCTAAACCGTTGGCAACAAAAGTGAGTACTTAAATATATTTAGTAGTACACTGTACATTTTCCTGCCACGTGCTTCACAGATCATGTGAGAAAAAGTAAACAATAGAGTGAAAAAGAGAAGCAGCAATATATATATATATATATATATATATATATATATAATAAATTTTTAAAGGGACGCTATAGTCACCAGAAGAACTACAGCTTAACCCCTTAAGGACACAACTTTTGGAATAAAAGGGAATCTTGATGGAATATTTCTGTCATGTGTCCTTAAGGGGTTAATGTAGTTGTTCTGGTATGTATAATAGCTCCCTTCAGGCATTTTCATGTAAACACTGCCTTTTCAGAGAAAAGGCAGTGTTTACATTGATCCTATGGACACTTCCAAGTGGCCACTCCTAGATGGCCACTGGAGGGGCTTCCTGACTCAAGACTGCACAGTAATCAGCCCTGCCGTTCAGCATCCCCACGCTCTGCATGGAAACGCTGAATTTTCCTCATAGAGATGCATTGATTCAATGCATCTCTATGAGGAGGTGCGGATTGGCCAAAACTTGGTTGGCCCCGTCCCCTTGCCGGTTTTAGACATTTCAATGCTTTCCCCATGGAATTCAAGGGGGCGGGGCCAGTGCCGGTGGACCCATGGAGAAAAAGATAAGGTGAGTTTTAACCCATTCTGAGGTGTCTAAGGGGGGGCAAGCCACCTAAATGGTGGGTTTTCACTGTAGGGTCAGTAATACATGTTTGTGTTCCTGACCCTATAGTGATCCTTTAATATATATATATATATACATATATGATATGTAAATACAGATTTTCTTACTGTTCCACTTTTTTCCCTCCATTGGTCAAACCCCGTTTGATCTGTGAATAAAACAACAGTTAGTTGCTGTCCCGTAGCCATCAATCATCTTTTTTCCGTCAATCATTATTATTAATTATTTTTCCGCCATGGTTGGAATTCAGAGTAACAACTCAAATTTACATCTCTGCCCATCATGCTAGTTGTTTGGTAAGTTATAAGTCTGCATGGTGTTTCAGAGATACGGAATTCAACTGCATAGCATAAGTCTAACAATAAGTCAAAAGCAAAAATAAATGCAATGTATTCTTTCAAATCCAAATATTTGTTGTACTTGGTAATTGCTATCTATTGTAAGTTCTTTACTTCATATTTTGCAGGAACAAGTGGGAATTTCGAGAACTGTTCTAGATCCGTTATGTACACTTGTAAGTTGTTAATGTTTCCTTAATGTTAGTGTTAAAGTTAATGTTAATATTCCCATCCTACTTTTAAAGACAGATAACTTACTCTTTTATGATAGTGTATGCTAAGTGTTGACTTTTGTGAGTTTTAAAACCACAGAAAATATGTGTTTTTTTTTGCTACTTTGCTTTTTTTGTCATAATTTTCAAGATACATTGCAACTCACAAGTTTAAAACGTTTATTGGGGAAAAAAAAAAACATAGTATGAGAAATACCCCTGTTTAGAGATGTAAAATTTCTTTACATTTAGAAAGCCATTAGAAAAAACACTTCTATAAATTGAAAGTAATTTTGTTAGATAGGGAACATAATCTGCAGTGTGTATAAAAGTATTATGTCTGAAATAAAAAGTACAGCTTATTCAGTAAACAATAAATTAAATTTGCATTATAAAACTATTTTTGATTTTCTTGATTAGACAGGGCTCTATTCACATGCAGAATTAATTGTCTTGATTTACCTATTATACAATGCAGCAGAATATGTTATTGTTATATACATAATTGTAACTGTTACAAATAAAATTACAGTGTCTGGCTGTGTTAAAATCACATGAATCATAAGGTCCCTCTGATGCCAGTACACAAGTACATGCCCTTCCCCCTCCATAAAAAACCAGGAAAAAACTATGAACATAATACAAAAACTAAGAACATTTTGTCTCCTCTAACCCTCCTTCTAATTTATAGTATCAAACAAAGAGAGCACTCTTTAATTAAAGAGACCATACAGACACCTAGTGCACATAAGCTTGCTGATTTGCTTTAGGATTGTGCCCTGTTTTATTAAAGTGCCTGTTTCATCAAAAGGCACGTTAATAAAACAGGATGAGAATGACCCACTGACGCCCCACTGACTATAAAACTGACACCCATGAGGGCTTTCTCTGGGTATGAAACAACTGTAGTTCAAGCAGCCATCACGTCTTTGTCTATAGCTAATAACTCCATAGCTCCTATTCAGATACATGCACAAATACAGCCCCATCCTATCATACCCAAACTACTCCTTTCCTTCCATCCAACCACATACCCTAAACTAGTGGCATTCACCCATACAGTCACAAAACACCAAACTGCTTGAATATAAGTATATATGAAGTGAAGGGGGTGTATTTTGGAAGCTGGCCTTAGGCGAAACTCAAACATGAGGCCCCCACTAACAACCAAAGTGAAAATAAATAGGGGTTGCATTGTGTGTATAAGTCAAACATACTTTTTATCCCGGATTTATTCCTAGGTGGTCCTGTGGATTCCTATCTGGTCTGCAGCTCCGTTGGGCTCAGAGCTGCAGACCAGGTGGTGCGGATCTCCAGAAATATAAGAGCGTTCTGTGGTAACCTGTAGCAATGCTCTGATTTGCTGGAGATGGCGAGACACCTCAGTCTGCAGCTCTGCACCAGGAGGAGCTGCAGACCGGAGGTTGTACAGGGTGCTTTCCACCCAGGGCAGACTGAATGGAGGGGCCGTCCACCTGTGGCATAATGGGCAAGCCGCCGGGCCCCCTCTTGTGTCGGGTCCTCGGTCACAGACTGAAGACGCAACATGTCAGTTTGCCCTAAGGTGATTTATGCGGCCGTGAGGCCCCAGTTTGCACGGGGCCTTAGGCGGCCGCCTCAATCGCCTAATTAGAGAGCCGCCTCTGAAGGTGATTACTACTTGGCCATAGATCTGCACATTGTTTTAATGTGCCCATAGGATCCTTGTCTGTATCTGCTGCATATTCCATCACAGTCATGTGATTATCACCTCATCAGCACTACATATTGCAAAAGACATAGCAATAATAGAAATTAACAAATAGCTAATCAACTGTGGGTGATGTGCACAGGACCCTGTCAGTACCCAGCATCATACGTGAAACCTGCAACTAGCAATTTCCTAGAGCCCTGGAAGATTTTAATCTAAATACTTTTCTAATATACCTGATTTCTTTAAAAAAAAACTGTGTATGTATGCATTATGCCTACATAAAGACATCATTGTTGATAATCTGGTGGGATTTTAAAAAAGGTGTATTTCCACAGGGCTATTTACTAAAATGAGAATTCAAAATGTTATCAAATTCACTGCAAAATTGGCTGTACAGAGGACCTAGGTCAGATATGGCAAACCCATGTCACGCATGCACAGCTGGCATGCCGAGCTCTCTCTGTGGGCACGCAGCCATAAGTCGCTGGGGGAGAGGAGAGACCACTAAGGGGGAGTGGGGAGAGGAGTGACCACTTATGGAGGGTGGAGGAGAGACCACTAAGAGAAGAGGGGAGGGGAGAGACCACAATGGAGGGGGCAGCTTTAAGGAGGGAGGGGACAGCTCTAATGGAGGGGAGGAGAGAGCACTAAGGGACAGAGGGGTAGGGAAGAACATTAAGGGACAGTGGGGCAGGGGAGAGAACTAAGGGACAGGAGGGGATGGGAGAGCACTAAGGACAGGAGGGGAATGGAGAGCACTAAGTCAGTTTGTGTATCTCTGTGTGTCTGTGTATCTCTGTGAGTATGTGTATCTGTGAGTGTGTGTGTATCTGTGTGTGTGTGTGTGTATCTGTGAGTGTGTGTGTGTGTGTGTGTGTGTGTGTGTGTCTGTGTAACTGTGAGTGTCAGTGTGTATAATTGCCACGTTGGCACTTTGAGGGAAAAGAAGTTGGCTTGTAGTGTGGTTTGGGCACTCGGGCTCCAGAATGTTTCCCATAACTGCCCTAGGTTATCTAGCAACCAGTGAGGAATGTATATTGGCACCAGCAGCATAAATATATATATATATTATGAGGGAAATTACCAATACACTCAGTCACATTTACAAACACACATTCATACAGACACTTGCTCACATTTGTATACTGACACATACACACTCACATTCATATGCACATACTCAAATTAATAAATAAACACATGCATATTCACACACACTCACATTCATATGCATATACACACACATAATAATTTCAATACACATATTCATACACACATACTCATATTCAAACACACACATTTGATTTTTATGGAAATCTGTATATCTACTGTTTGGTGATTTGCAGTTGGGATCAATATTTGCACTGATTCTACAGCTCCATGCGACTGTATACTAATGCTAGGGCTGGGGTGTTAGATCCCAGCTCACCGCATTGGCACAGGGTGGTTAGGGAGCTATGCAGGCAGAGTACAGATTGATTGCAGCAACTCCCCTACCTCCCACAAGGTCTGCCTGCAATATCTTATTTTGCACAGCAGAAATTTTCCATTCTGCAACCACCACTGGTAGGTACCAGCCTACTCTGGCATGAGGGGGATACTCCATGAACCACCTTAACATCTGTCAACTGGAGGTGGACTGCCCCACGATTAATACACTCAAAGAAACATCACAGCCATATCATATTTCCAGTTTAACTAGTAGATATTACTGGGTACAAAGTACTGTCTTGCTTCCAAATTTAAATCCTGCATTTAGCATTTTCATGCTAGTAACGTGATCACCATAAAGCATTTTAAAAAAAAAGCATGTTACAATAAATTACTGTAGAAAATACAGAGGGACAAACTAATAATTAGATCTATCAGTTATTCAGTGGAAAGTGCAGCTGTAGTACTGGTAATCACATTAAAAAAAAAGTTATAAAATACAACTTAAAAAAATGTCACCAAGTATTACCAGGTAAGGACCAAATGAATGGGCAGCAGGGTGAAAATTAATTATAATTTATCTCACTTACAGTTTATAGAGAGTACATTAATTGTATAACCTCTATGAAGATTTAGATTCATATTGACATGAATTTGTACACCATGTTTAGAAAATAATGCATATTTACTACTATTTTTTGAAGTGATTGACACTGCATATAAACACGAGTCTTGTTTTGAGATGTTCATTCATTAATACAATTTATTTCTCCACAATTCTGTTTGTCTATTTTTTATTTACTTAGAACATCAATATACAACTTGCCAAAAAAAAAAAAAAAAATACTAGTGAGACTTCAAATGATTAAAAAATAAATATTAACAGCATTTATTTAATTGCTTAACTTTTATTGAGAAAAGATTATTAATTTACTTTTACTTATTTCAATTACAGCTCAAAGGTTTATTAACTTCCGACTGTCTCAAGACACTTTTGGGTGTATGTATAACATTTTTCAATATAAAATGTCTTCTTTTAATATGTTTGGATCTCTGTATCGTGGCCATAATTTTTAGGGTCCAGGTGGTTTCATTAAATGCAGAGAGTGCTTTATTGTGGGACACCTTTTATCACACTATTTGGGGCTTATTTCCTTACAATAATAGTCTTTTGGAAAATGTGCTAATTATAATAACAATCTTGTTTTCAAGCCCTGTTAATATGCCTGTGCTTCTAAACGAGCCTCCAAGTGCAATGTGAATTTCCTGACAGTTGTGTTTTTCATAACAACAGCTTTTTGCCTTTATAGAATATGAATGTGTTTGACATACCATTCCATCATAATGCATGCTATGGGTTTGAGTAAGGCAGTTGCTGCAAGTAATGAAATGTGCAGTATCAACATGCATTGTATTGCATTTTTGTACACTGATACTAAACTCTTGTAAAATAATTTGAAAGGGCAAATCATTTCAGATTTTTTTCCCCCCAGTGTATGAATATCAGAACTATGCACAGATACAACATTTGATTCATATGATTCAATTTGTTGGTGAAAAAATATGAATCTCAGCCGAATTTAACCTATGAACTTTTTTAAGATAACTTCATTATTCCTACCCTTCCCATTCTTCTTTTTTTTTTGCCCCTAGTGCTGCTGTCAGGCAAGTAGTACAAGTCACAAAACTAACAAATTGTTCATCAAGTTTTATTTGTTTCGTGATATGTTGATTGGCCGTTTCAGATTTTGAAATTTCATACAAATTGATGATCTCCTAAAATTTTAATGAGTGCACGTTTAAGAAACATACATGCATTACATGTATAAATAAATTAAAACTGGTGTATGTGCTATTATAAATGCAAATCAAAGCCTTTGCCAATATTTATTGACATGTTGATGGGTGAACATGACCTGTTACTGATATTAAAGCAATCACAATCTCAGAATTCTAAAACTTTTTGACACAATTTACCATTATTTTATCAGTTAATATGCCATATAAATTATGTTCAATACCTAAGTCTCAGCAATCGTAACTCCTGGAGAAGAGTTATCAAATTGTTAATGGGTACTATAACACCGATGACCACTTCTGCTTTTAGTAATGGCCATGGTGCTAGGAGTCTGCATGTGCAGCATTTTTGAAATACTGCACACCATACAGAGATATTTGCACTTTGTGCTGGGACTAGTTAAACCCTTTATGCACGTGACTGCTCAATATCAATTATGTGCAAAAAATATGTCTGTCGTCACACTGTAATGAACATATCATTAGATGAGATTGCAGTACTAGGATCATGTAGGGAGCACTTCAACAATGCTCCCTGCATGGTCCTAAAGTCTGGGAGCTGTCAAAAAAGCCTGCCAATTTATGAGCCCTCCCTTTTTCTATCTACACCCAGCCAGTGGCGTACACATGACCCATGGGGCCCCGGTGCGAAAATTGATCCGTGGGCCCCCCCGTGCGCGCGGGCTGGGCCGCAACACATGGCGGTGTGCACCTGGTCGCAGGGGTTACAGGGCTGTGACCCCTGCGACCGCGGTATGTACGCCAGTGCATGCAGATGCACACACACTTAAAGGACCACTACAGACACCCAGATCACATCAGCTCAATGAAGTTGTCTGGGTGTCAGGTCCCTCTAGTTTTAACCCTGCAGCTGAAATGTTTCACTGAGGGTTAATCCAGCCTCTAGTCTCACTGACAGCCGCTAGAGGAGCACACTGAACGTCCATAGGAAAGCATTGAGTAATGCTTTCCTATGGGCGGTTTGAATGCATGCGCAGTCGCATTCGGAGCTGAGAGGCTAAGGGATCCCCAGCGCCAAGGGAGTCCGGCGCTGGAGAAAGGTAAGTGCTGAAGACACACACACACTCTCACTTACAGACACCTACACACTAGCTAACAGACACACACATTTACTGACAGACACACTCAGCGACAGACATACACACACACTCACTTACAAAACATACACTCTCATTGACAAACACACACTCACTAACAGACATCAAACAGACTCACTAACACACACACACACTCAGTAAAACACACACAGTAACACTCACTGACACTCACTAGCAGACACACACACTAACACTCACACTCACTCTAACACTCACACACACTAACACTAGCAGACACACACACACTAACACTCACTAGCAGACACACACACACTAACACTCACTCTAACACTAACACTAACACTAACAGTCACTCTAACACACACTCTAACACTCACACACTCTCAAACACTAACACTAGTTTTTTGTTTTTGTTTTTTTAAATGTAATCCCCCCAGCCTCCTTACCTTTTGGAGTGCTGGGGGGATTCCCTGGGGTCCAGTGGTGCTGCTGGGCTCCTGGGCGGGTGGCCGGTCGGGCAGGCGGGCGCGCGAGGGAGCACTCAGTGCTTCCTCTTCAGCTCCCTCGCGCGCCGCATAGGGATGCCGGAACCGGAAGATGACGTTATCTTCCGGCTCCGGTATCAGTGCGGTGTGCGAGGGAGCTGAAGAGGAAGCACTGAGTGCTTCCTCGCGCGCCCGCCTGCCCGACCGGCCACCCGCCCGCCGGGGTCAGCAGGGCCAGCCTCGGGGGGCCCTGGGGTGGTCGGCTCCTGGGTCCCCCAGGGGAAGAGGCTGGCCCAGTGGCACACACCGGGTCGCAACCGCGACCCCTGCGACCCTGGTAAATACGCCACTGCATCCACCCCATATGGGCATCACTAATGATGAAGTTGCATCAGTGGAAACATTTCTTTTCCTTTACTTTGATACTGCCAGTTACTAGGGGTGGAGGGGCTTGGATGCATTAATGTGGAGGCTGCTCTGCATACAGAACAAACAGAGCAGAAAGAGTTAACTTGTGCAGAAGTGTGAGGGGCCAGATTGGAGTCACAGTCCCAGTGTAACCTGATTTAGGCTTTTCACAGCAGAAGCTCTCTATGCTAGCAGCTCTGTGCAGAGACGCTGGTGTCTTAAAGACTCATACAATCTCAATTTCCACTACTAAATCACAAGAGGATGACTGGAATTGTTTAGCCCTGAGATAGATAGATAGATAGATAGAATACTTTTTTTTCCTGTAGCATTTACGAGGAGTTTGCGGTTGTAAAAATTAATTTTGTTTGTTTCTACAAAGCAGACTAAGATTGTTTTTTTAAATGTAATCCCCCCAGCCTCCTTACCTTTTGGAGTGCTGGGGGGATTCCCTGGGGTCCAGTGGTGCTGCTGGGCTCCTGGGCGGGTGGCCGGTCGGGCAGGCGGGCGCGCGAGGGAGCACTCAGTGCTTCCTCTTCAGCTCCCTCACGCGCCGCGTAGGGATGCCGGAGCCGGAAGATGACGTCATCTTCCGGCTCCGGAATCAGTGCGGTGCGCGAGGGAGCTGAAGAGGAAGCACTGAGTGCTCCCTCGCGCGCCCGCCTGCCCGACCGGCCACCCGCCCGCCGGGGTCAGCAGGGCCAGCCTCGGGGGGCCCTGGGGTGGTCGGCTCCTGGGTCCCCCAGGGGAAGAGGCTGGCCCAGTGGCACACACCGGGTCGCAACCGCGACCCCTGCGACCCTGGTATGTACGCCACTGCATCCACCCCATATGGGCATCACTAATGATGAAGTTGCATCAGTGGAAACATTTCTTTTCCTTTACTTTGATACTGCCAGTTACTAGGGGTGGAGGGGCTTGGATGCATTAATGTGGAGGCTGCTCTGCATACAGAACAAACAGAGCAGAAAGAGTTAACTTGTGCAGAAGTGTGAGGGGCCAGATTGGAGTCACAGTCCCAGTGTAACCTGATTTAGGCTTTTCACAGCAGAAGCTCTCTATGCTAGCAGCTCTGTGCAGAGACGCTGGTGTCTTAAAGACTCATACAATCTCAATTTCCACTACTAAATCACAAGAGGATGACTGGAATTGTTTAGCCCTGAGATAGATAGATAGATAGATAGATAGATAGATAGAATACTTTTTTTTCCTGTAGCATTTACGAGGAGTTTGCGGTTGTAAAAATTAATTTTGTTTGTTTCTACAAAGCAGACTAAGATTTTAAATTTAGGGAGACAGCATCAGCTGGTAACATTTAGCAAAAGCTTTGAAAACAGTAAATAACAGTTGACTCCAAATATATTCTATGTAAGTTTGTTTGAGCAGGGTCCTCTTCAACCTATTGTTCCTGTAAGTTATTGCAATTGTCTAATTTATTGTTAAATCTCCCCCCTCTGATAATATTGTAAAGTGCTACGGAATATGCTGGCGCTATATAAATACTACTACTACTACTACTACTACTACTACTACTACTAATAATAATAATAATAATAAATAGCCATTAAAAGTAACATCAGTCTGTAATTCAGTCATTGATGCATGAAATTCTGTGGTTTAGAAACAGTCGCTACTCACAAAGGTTAACAACAGACACTTTAGTGATAAATGAGAATGTTTGTAATGAGTCCATAGTGGAAGCAAGAAACAGTCAGTAGTAAATGTTTTTTTAAAAAACATTTACCATTTCAGGAATGATAGTTATGCTCCAGGAAATGGGCTGATCTTGAAAAGTTCCCACATTTTTTTATCCCGTACTTGATTAATGCCTCATGATATGAGCATCAAAATGTATAAATTAATCTTTCTTTCTTTTAACTTAAAGTATATATGAAGTTTTAAAAAATAAAAACAAAATTTTCTTTTGTTTGTTTAGGAAAATATTCCAGATATTATTAAGATACTGCTTTGCGTGGTAAGCTTGAAACTGTTAATGTATATGCACAATTATATTTTTACTGTCATTAATTATTAGATTCTAAAAGGAAAAATTATTTAAAAAATGTATGATACGTTGAAATATTGATAAACAGGTGCCTTATATACATATAAAAAAAAAGAGTATACAAAGAAAAAAAGATTAAGCCACTAGTTTGCAAAGATAGAGATTAGCTATGGAAATTAATATTTATTCACTATCAGGGCCGCCATCAGGGGGTGACAGCCATGACGGTTGTCCTGGCCCGCCGGTCCTGGGGGCCCTGGGCCACACATTCCTTCTCTGCACATATATATATAGCGATGATCACTGTGAAGAAAACAGACTTATTTTCTGCATTTTCTTATTCGTTACTTTCAGCTGTATTCATTTATTTGGGCATAATGGATTTTTATTGTGCTGCTGCTGGCCCTTTAACTCCCAGAGAAATGATTTGTACTTTTAAACTGGCACTTCGGATGCAGTCGAAGTGCCGCAGTAGTCGAATTGGCCGCCATTCCAAAATCAAACTCATTCAAACGCAGTCAACGGTGTGTGCAACCAAATCTATGGAACTGTTTTTGGCTACCCAATTGCACGAACACCGCTGACCCGTACCTTCTCCTTCGCTTCAACACTACGGCTGGAGACTAAGTCCCGAACGAAGATTCGAACGCTTGTTCGAATGGAACTTAGTAATTTTCTCAGTGTAAAATAGACCGACCGCACAGCTCAAATCCATGTCAAATAGGACTTTCCCTTAACTTTTTAACCCCTGAACCGATTGCCCTGATTTTTGAGTATGTGTATATTCCAAGTATTCTGATTCTGAAAATGTATGTTTTATATGAATGGCATTTATATTTTGGAAGTTATTAATATTTTGTTAAAACTGTATATTTTCTGCCTGTGATAAGTAAGTTAGTCTCATGTGTTGAGATAATTGTATCACAAGCAGAGGGGAGGGTTTGTGTGTAATTGCTGGGAGTGTCTGAATGTATTGTACGTATTGATTGGTTGTTCCTTTTGTCTGTTGTGGGAGGCTCACTGGCAGGAGGAATTCCATAAAAGCCAGTGTGTCGTCAATAAAGCTCATTCCTGTTATACCCTTCATGAAGTCTAGGCTCATGCTTAGGGGATATTTTACTTGCTGGGGAGAATTGTCTTGGAAGCTGAATTCATCTACACTATTCCTCTACACCCTATCTGCAGTTATTATCACTTATGCTCAGCTATTGGGAACGGAATAGAAGATTGCAGCATCATAACAACTGCAGGTCTTAACAATCGATATATATATATATATATGTGCAACCACGGGCCCCCTGGCTTCCTATACTTGCAGAGGGAGGCCAGCAGACTGCAGGAGCACATTACAGCTCTTCCCTCTCTCTAACTCCCGCGAGACGTGTGGCCGTCAGAGAGTTGCCACGGGTTACCATGGCAACGCTCCTGCCTTCAGCACGCACACCACGCTCGCGAGAGTTATAGAGAGGGAAGAGCTGTAATGTGCTCCTGCAGTCTGCTGGGCTCCCTCTGCAAGTACAGGGAGCCAGGGGGCCCCACCATGCCATTGGACCACCCTCTCTGGACCAGGTAAAAGACAGGGAGGGGGGAAAAACAGTTATTAGATTTAATGTTGGGGATTTAATGTGGGGGGAGGGGAAAAAGCATACAATAGTAAACACACACACACACACACTGCATTCACTGCACTAACACACACTCTGCATTCACTGCACTAACACACACTCTGCATTCACTACACTAACACACACTCGGCATTCACTACACTAACACACACTCTGTATTCATTACACTGGTACACATAGTGCATTTACTACACTAACACACACTCTGCATTCACTACACTGACACACACTCTGCATTCACTATACACACAGCATCCACTACACATACATACTTTATTTACAGTACACACACTACATCCACCACACATTTAAACACTCTGCATTCACTATACAGAGACACTGTCTAATACACACACTACATCCACTACAGACACTGCATCCACTAAACACATTGCATCTAGTACACACAAACACTACATCCACTGGACAAACACACATTACATCACTGTACACACACTACATCCACTACTCAAACACACTCTGCGTTCACTATACACACTGCATCCGCTACACAAACACACACTCTGCATTCACTGCACAAACAGTATCTAATACACACAAACACTACATCCATTACACACATTCTAATTCATTTCCACTATACACACCACTCATGGGCGGGCCAGGGTGGGTGTCCCAGACCTTGTGCTTTGTCAGGGGCTCCAACATTTCTGGTGGCAGCCCTGTTCACTTGCAGTGACTTATGGTGAGCTGACAATCAAGAGAATAAATATATGTTGAGAACTTAGTCCTTTATTTTGCCACTTGGTTTTCAAATAATCAACATGTTCTTATTAATAAATAATAAATACTGTCATCATTAACAAGGCCGTGGTTGAGAAGGAGATTTGTAATTTTGGCTGTAAACACAATACACAAAAATACATCACTTTATAAATAGTCTGTCGGCTTGGGGTGTATTTTGTAATTGTTGGGTACAATATCATACATAATATAAGGAAGGACTAGTTTTTAAAAAGATTATGAAACACTTGTAGGAAGCAGAGCTTGTGTAAAGAGAGGCTGAAGACATGGAATAAAGTTGGGAATCAAGATCGCAGTCAGAAAATGGGAAAAGGTGCTAAGAATGAATAGAGGCGTGTTTTATGAGACTAGAAATTGAGAAAATAGACTATATTCATTGTGACTGGGTAAAGGTAACGGCAGTAGAGATAACACTTAGCTTAAGGTTAGGTTTAGAGTTAGAGGCTTACAGTGCCTTGCAAAAGTATTCACCGCCCTTTTTTCGTGTTTTGTTGCCTCACAACCTGGAATTAATATGGATTGTTTGATTATTTGCATCATTTAATTTACAGAACATGCCCACAACTTGAAGCAAACAACAAATGGGACAAAATAACAGAAAAAGTCAATGTGCATAACTATTCACCCCCCTAAAGTCAATACTTTGTAGAGCCACCTTTTGCGGCAATCACAGCTCCAAATCGCTTTGGATAAGTCTCTATGAGCTTGCCACATCTTACCACTTGGATTTTTGCCCATTCCTCTTTGCAAAACTGCTCCAGCTCCTGCAAGTTGGATGGTTTGCACTTGTGAACAGCAATCTTTAAGTCTGACCACAGATTTTCTATTGGATTGAGGTCTGGGCTTTGACTAGGCCATTCCAACACATTTACATGTTTCCCCTTAAACCACTCAAGTGTTGCTTTAGCATTGTGTTTGGGGTCATTGTCGTGCTGGAAGGTGAACCTCCATCCTAGCCTCAAATCACGCACAGAGTGGTACAGGTTTTGCTCAAGAATATCCCTGTATTTTGCACCATCTATATTTTTCCCTCAACTCTGACCAGTTTGCTAGTCCCGACTGCTGAAAACATCCCCACAGCATGATGCTGCCACCACCATGTTTCACTGTGGGGCTGGTGTTCTTTGGGTGATGTGATGTGTTGAGTTTGCGCCAGACATAGCATTTTCTTTGATGGCCAAAAAGCTCCATTTTAGTCTCATCAGACCAGAGAACCTTTCTCCATACATTTTGGGAATCTCCTACATGCCTTTTCACAAACTCAAAACATGCCATTTTGTTTTTTACTGAAAGTAATGGCTTTCTTCTTGTCACTCTGCCGTAAAGCCCAACTCTATGGAGCATACGGCTTATTGTCATCCTATGTACAGATACTCCAGTCTTACCTTAGGTCTCTGTGCTGCTTCTCTGATTAGTACCCTCCTTGACTGGTCAGTGAGTTTTGGTGGGCGGCCGTCTCTTGGCAGGTTTGCTGTTGTGCCATGTTCTTTCCATTTGGTTATGATAGATTTGATGGTGCTCCTGGGGATCATCAATGACTTGGATATTTTTTTATACCCTAACCCCGACTTGTACTTCTCAACAACATTGTCCCTTACTTGTTTGGCGAGTTCCTTGGTCTTCATGGCGGTGTTTGGTTAGTGGTGCCTCTTGCTTATGTGTTGCAGCCTCTGGAGTGTGTATATGTAATGACAGATCATGTGACACTTAGATTGCACACAGGTGGACATCATTTCACTAATTATGTGACTTCTGAAGGTAATTGGATGCACCAGAGCTTTTTATGGGCTTTATAACAAAGGGGGTGAATACATATGCACATGCCAATTTTCTGTTTTCTATTTCTAAAAAAATGTTTTATGTATATATTTTTCTCATTTCACTATTGTTTTCTGATTCATCACATAAAATTCAGATTAATAAAACATTAAATCGGTAAAAAGCCAAGGAGCAAGGGGGTGGGGGAGGGTGGATACTTTTATAAGGCACTGTAGGTTTATAGTTAGTATAGATTACATTTAGGAAGGTTTTAGGATTTGTAAATTCAAATTTTAGGTCTAGATTTTTAAGGTTCTGATTAGAATTTCTGTACACTATCATTTTATCATTTCACTGTGAACACATATTACAACTATATACATTTAAAGGCATCATGCAGTTAGGCGTGTTACACAGAGAATTGTAGTCTGTGTTAAAATCCACTATAAGTCCCCTTTTGTAGAAAATAATTGAAAAAAATAACAGGAAACATTAATCAATACAAGCAGACACCATTAATGTGCTTCATACATAACTTTTTACATGTTTATTAGGTATACGTTTTGATAAAAATAGAAAACAATAATATTTCATTTAACATATTCATTTTAATGATATAAACAAATTATGGTTTTCAGGTCAAAAACAAGACTTCCACCTTGGAAAATGTCACTGGAGTTATGGTAAATGAAAAGAATCTGCAATAAATATTAAAATGGAAAATATGTAAAAATGTCCCAATTTATGTGAACGTTTATTAAATCTTAAAATCATATTTACTCTTAAAGAGGCTCTATCACATTCTGGGGTATTTAGATATTTTACAAAGACCTCAGTGTTACTTACCTCTTTATTTACACTTTCAGTGCCACAAGGAACAAGGATAAGCACAACTGGTGGCGCTCACCTAGGGCCTGGTCTCACTAAGCACAGTTTCACCAGAAAAAGAGCTTTCCTTAAAGTCCTTACAACAGAGACACAGGTTCATGTAATATAAAATGGTATTGCGGTTTCTGTAGTTCCTTATGAAATGTTAATGCATAATTGCAAACGTGCTACAAAGAATAAATTTTAATTTTGAAATGACATTTCAACAACCCCCAAATAAAGCTAGTTTGGCTCTAATCAATCAAACCAGAGTTTTTATTCTTTTGCCTTAAAACATATGTATTCCATTTCATGTTTGTACATGTTTTAAAACGTGCTTTTTTTTAATTTTGATATAGAAAAAAATTGTATGCGCAGCAGAGGATGCTTTGTCGTTGGAGAACGCTGCGGTAAGAACCTATTTTGAAAAGCCATTTCATGTATGTTTTTCATATTATCTTTCTTTACAGTACTTTACATATATGTAATTGTGCTTAGGGAGCAAGGCCAAGTATGATCATTTGTATATTCTCAATATAACAACTGATATGCAAGTAAGCTTGAAAGAAAACATGGTTAATCTAAAGAAGTAGGTAGATTGATTACTTAGAAATTATGCTAATCTATCACTTAGCCTAATGTTCTAATAAAGGATAACCAATGAACAGGAGAGGGAAAAATTCACTGCACTTTTGAAGACCTCCAGTGAAATAATTGACATTTATCATAAAATTGCTTATTTATTATATGAAAAAATAGGACACTAGGCAGAACATACAAAATTGAATATGATGTAAAAGAAAAATAAATTCTGAAATATATGCATTATGGAAAAAAAGGAAAGGGACACAAAAACAAAACTATCAGTAATTAGAATAGGCTTTGTGTCTGATGAAAGACTCTTCCTCAGTGCAAAATGTACTCTATTTACTTATATTACCTCTACCCCGTATGGTAATATAATTCATACATGGTACGTGCATTCTGATTAGTCTTAATGCATTGCAAAGTGAGTGTTTTAAAGTTGTCCATCTTCACCAATTACTGGACCATCAGATCTTGACTGGAGCGGTTTTCAGTCATAAACTCAAAGGGACTAAGGAAACTGTGGGAAGCCAGACCAATTAAGGTTAGTCTAGTACTAATTCAAAAGTTGATTTATTCAGCATACCCGTCAAAGACCTAAAGAGGGGCCCATCAATAGGTGATTTTTTCCTGTGAAACCTAACCCACAATGTCTGACTTAGTTCTTGCATACATGGAATTGAATACTGGCAGTAATGTAATGGGAGTGATTCTGATACAGAGTTGCTAACAATGCAGATTTACTATTGTAGATCTAAGATGCAGCACTTTCAGTAAACTAACGGAGGGCTTCTCACTAAGAGTGCACTAAGCCACTTTTGCTAAGTAAAGCAGCAGGCAGAGTCCTGGTCAGTGAACAATCCAAGATCCTGATTGCAGAGATCAATGCAGGTGGTAGACAAACAGAGGATCACGCTGGAGTTTAGGTAGAAACATTGTAATGCAACAAAATAACTAAGCAATGTAAAGTATGAGACATCTCCTAAAGAAGATGACTGGAGAGAATGAGGGGATGGGGTAGAAGTAAAGCATGACAATTAGCATCTATTCTCCACCAGATGTAGTTGAGAAAAAGCATGACACCAATACTAAAAAAAGACCAAAGGCAGTGGTAGGTGTTCAGTCAGTTGTCATTCTAGAGAAGGCAATGGTCATGCCCAGGTGAAGAATGAAAAATAAAGTAGACTGCAATATCAGTGAGAAGATTAAAGCATCAAAATCTGTAGAACAGTGTGCCCCCATTCTGTAAAAAGGATTAGTAACATTTGCTATCTCAGATGGCAGACATAACACAGCAAATTTACCCAGTAATATCATAAGTTCTTGGTGTGTGCATCCTGTCACCAGCTTTTTCATTCATTGCCCCCCTACTTATTTTTTTGCCTTAGAAACTCTTTATTTTGAATCTATTTTTTGTTTGTTTGTTTGGTTTTTTGTTTTTGCAAATATAATCTTTGGACTATTGCTCATAGAAATCAATAGACCTCAATTATATATTACTCTTCACCTCTAAGGCGTGGGGGTTGATGAAGGTTTAAGGCAATTTGTGAGCCCCTGCCAAATAATGGTTTACTTCTACCACCTACCCCAATGTACAGGCTAGATGAAAAATCAGGCTAATCCCTGTGCCTTCTCTTGTCATTCTTGAGATCCATTGGGAAAGACATTGTTATTTATTTAATACTGTACCCACCATACATCAAGCAAGGCTGAGAGAGTCATTTGATTCTATAGCGGTTGATTTGGGCATTTGTGTACCACATTTCTGTTTTACTTTAAATTTGTTTTTACTAGGAGATGAGGTTCTGGCCACATCAATCACAAACAATATTTTGCTAATTGTGATTATACTACATTAATTACACAATTGTTCTGGTGCTCAACCCACTCAGCAATTTAGTCAGGAAAAACAAATACAGTAAAACTGTTTATGAATGTATGTTGCCTTACAAGATGTGCTAGTGAATAGCATGAGTCTCGACTTGGCGGACTTTCAAAATTAATTGACTCAATGACTGATTTATGCAGATACATAGTACACCAATATGGAGATCCAGCACTCTTGATATGCAGCATTGGTGCAGGCCACCCTCCAAGACCTTCAAAGTATGAAAATAGAAATAACAGAACCGCAACACCAATTAATATGCACATGGGGATTTATTCCATAATTGAAGTGTACTCAGCAATTTTTCAACACAAACCTTAACAAAGACATTGTATGTGTCAAATCATTGCAGAGTCCATTTTTATGGTGGAATAAATCTCTATTTGCATATTAGTTGGTGTTGCAAGTCTGTAATTTCTAATTTTTTGCTGATAGACCAGGAAGTAAATCTATATATGTATAGATAACATGAAGTTGGTGAGATAAATACTCTTCATCAAAATGCCTATCAAATGCAACAATTTTCTTTTAATTTTTTTTTTTTTTTTTAAATAAAGAAGGCATAATGGCAAGTAGACATAAGGTACCCTGGAAGTATTTTAAACCTAACTTTTAAAATATAGTTTTGTTATTGTAGAGACTTTCATTACCTTTTTGCATTTTTAAATATTATTATTATCTATACTTTGCATTCTATTTAACGTTTACGCTATGCATTACAAGTATATAGCTTTTTTCTTCATACATTTTAAACTTTTCCCGTGCAGACAACTGCACAAAAAGTGACAAATCACAAAAATACAATTGTGCATTTGCCAAATGCATAAATTAAATGTACCTATTTGCCAGGAGCATTGACAGGGCTAGGTTGCATCAAGATCAAGGGCGTGACACCAAGAGCAAATATTATTTCACTTTCCACATTGTAGCAGAGAGTAGTGGTAGCAGGGCTTCTTCTCCGCTGATTACTCCAACAGCTACTCAGGAACAAACAGGAAACTTTAGAACAGTAGGCATCAATACAAGATGATACACGAATATCTCATCACCCTTTCCAATAATTGGACGACACTCAGTATTAGGAGCAGAACTCATCCTTTAATGGCCAGGCTGGCCTTTTATGCAGGTTTTGCCCCAAAGGTTCCCATCCAGGTGGACCTTGTGGGGCACCGATAAAAATATACAGCAACCAATAAACACAGAATCAGGTCATAAGACACTCCCATACATTACACACAATCTCTCCCATCTGCTCAGGGCATAATTGAGTTAATTACTGTATCAACTCAATTATCCCAAAACAGAAAAATCTAAATTTTCATACTTTTTTGGAAACACCTCAAAAACATATCCTATATTCATAATTCCAACACCCCCTGATAGCCACGATCTGGGGGAGCAACATACTGAAAAATCACCCAGATCGGTTATGGGGTTCGAAAGTTTTAAGGATGTCTTAGTTTTACCGACCGCACACAAGGTATAAACAGAATGGTTTGTGTCTTTGTTCATTTAATTCCTCTCTGCGGTGTTCGTGCCATCGCGTGTCCGATTTGGGTTCCAGACACTCAATGACCAAACACTGCTGGGGGAATTTGTATGCTAAGATGGCCGCCGCCACGTGTTCATATTGAAAATGGCGGCCACCCAGGGAACACCCAGTTAGTTTGTGCGGTTGGCAATTAGAATAGTGTGAAACAAGTTAGGGAGGTCAATTGATGCCAAACTCTTCTCCTGGGTGGCCTGGTTTTTCGGTAGTTTGTTTGTCAAACAATATCGTATAAAATAGTTGAAACAGGAATCTTACCGAGCAACCAGACGAATGAGAGTCAATATTACATTGTTACTTGTTTCCCCAAGTAACAAACAGAGAAGGTAACTTAAATACAGTAACAAAAGGGTGGGTGGACAGCCCTTAGCAAAAGGAAGGTACTGGGGTGAAGTCCATTCCGCTACACACATATATTGACCAAAACCTCACTGAGTAACCTGCTCTATGTCCAACCTTTACATGTTCTGTGAATAGCATTATGACACTAAACCTTTCCAGTGAAGTCACATTATATAAAGCCACACCTTTCATATCAACCTCACACACCCCAACATACTCCCATTCCCCTAGCAATTAACATCTCACCGCCCAATTTATATATCCACATTACCATATCAATTAACTATTTATACATTACCCCACCAGTTAACCCTCTCATTCCCCATTTATATATCCACACTACCCAATCAATCATATATTTCATTCCCCAATTTAAATATCCACCTTCCCTTACTAATTAACCCTCATACTCCTTAATTTAATATCCACATTCCCCAGTTAACTCTCCTTCTCTCTCAAATCTAGATACTCATTTATTTCTTCTCAAGCACACAACGTGCAGACAGAAACCTCATGCACTTCACTGTTAAATAACCTCAAATGTAAACATTTGCAGACAGCAATATTTTCTTATCTCTGCTGAACTGGACGTATGGAAGTAGATAGCCTGGACAGGGAAGGAAACTTTTGAATTAATATCCATTAGCTCCCTCCTCTGTGCTAGTGCTATTTCCTATAGGTGGAGGCACACTAAGGAAAGCGCTTTTAAAATTCTTATTAAAGATCTCCAAGTTAAAATAAAAGCTTACTGATTATAAAAACACAAATGGCAACTGACTCAAAATACCAAGGTAATGTGTGGTCAAATGAGGCTCATAAAACAGCCAACACAAATATGTACATGTTTAACAAGTCAGTTTGTTTACTAATTGCCAACTTCGGAAACTAAGTCATGTCATTTTAAGTTGGGGATTTTAGGTTTTTTTTTGCTCCTGCTAGAACAATAAAAAAGGACAAAAACCTACATGTGAGTTTAAATGTCTATTTGGTCCTGGTCAAAAAACAGTTCAGACAAACTAAAATTGAGTGAAATTTGGCCAGTCAGTGTACAGCAAAATATAGAATATAATTATTATGTAAATATTTAGCAGTACACTGATAGGTGTATTTTCCTGCCATTTGGTTCACAGACCAAGTGAGAAGAAGAAACCAAAAGAGATTTTCACGGCTTCCCTTTTTTACATGTATGCTTTTCACATTCCATAATTTTTATCTTTAATTCCAAACCAACATGAAACATGATACTTTTTTCAGTCCCATCTGAACAGTTTAGGTTAACTTTTGGTACAAACTCTAATAACAGTTCACAGCACTGACATCAAATTCAATGTGACATTAATTCAGATCCTGTCAGTTTCTTGATTTGACCTGATGGGGATGCTAGTCAAAATTAACCTGAAAATAGGATGTTTCTGGGTCTTTGGTCTTTAAACTGCCTGTTTTTCAGAATTCCTGTATGGATATTATTAACCAATTAATATAATTATATTTAATGTAATATCGATATAAAATGTTAATTTTGTTACATAATCCATGCGTGACTATACCTGTCTGTCTAATTATCTATCATTTTGAAGAATATGGTTTTCAACAGAATGCACATTTTTATATATCATTTTAAAAATATTTAAATATTTTGGGAATTTTGACAGAAGAATAAGGCAGCACAATATCAGGAGTAAGTAACAGTAATGTAAAGATACAAGATTTCTTTTTCATTTTTAAAATTATTTTAATAAGAAATTATTAAAAATAGTCTAATTTGAAGTCACAGGATGCATTCACTTGACATTATTGACTTATTTTTTTGATATTTTTTAGGCATCTCTCACAGATTCAGCTAAGAAAATTTTAGCAGATACACTTAAGAGTAAGCTGGTAAGGATTTTTGGAATTATTTATTGTGTCAGCTTGATTCCATCTGCCATGATTAAATCATAATCATATTGTTATCCCTACATACATGATTAACTATTTATTACTGTTAGAGTATACAGATTTAGCCAAAACCAGTGGTTAACATTTGTTAGGGGTCTCTATCCGACCATATCTGAAGTTATTCTAACTTGCCAAATTTATAAAAAAATATTAGTTTAAATCAGATCTGTCATAAACATAATTTTGTAAAAATGTGGCTGCAATGACCTCACACAATTTGTATATTGACCTCTTTGGGTTGCTGGACAGCAATTGTCTGTCATGTGAGTCTTACCCTTAACAACACACAAGGGTAAATTTCCTTCTTCTACTAAAATTAGCATCACATCACCACAGTTGTGGTGATCGTGGGGTAATGCTGTTTCTGGGTGCCTTAGTGTCGAAGGCAGACCAGCAGTAGCATATGGTAATGTGAACAATGAGACAGCAAGTCACAGTGAACACAGTGCTGCTGATATATACCATACACCTCCCTCCACCTCTTGATGAGTTGTGAAGTAGAGACAAATAGTTGTGATGCACAGTTGTGATGCAGGGACTCTTGGTGGATGAAAACTCAGGGGAGGTTGTCACGCACACCAACATCAAGACTCAGCAGAATCTGGCACAAAACCAAGAGAGTCTAATTGACAGAAAAGGGAAATGGTATCCCACCAGTGTACCAGAATTAAAGCAATTCTGGGCACTAACTATGCTATTGGAAATAATTAAAAAGCCCTGCATTAGGTGGTACTGATTCAAAACCCAGTATGTAGTAGCCACAATTTTTCACAGACCATGAGTGAGTAGGCCCAGGTATGAAGCTATACTGTGATTTATGTACTCCAGTGACAATTCGAAGTGCCCCTCGAAAGGTAATCTGCAGTATAATCATCTATTCAAATACCCCTCAATGTCTTTAACAAACAATTTGAAACAATTTACACCCCCAAAAAATATATTTGCATCGACGAGTCCCTTATGAAATATAAGGGAAAACTGGAGCTTAAACACTGCATCCCAGCCAAAAAGATCCCTGTATGGGATAAAATTGGACAAACTGTGTGAAAGTGGTAGTTGCTATAATTACATCTTGCATATCTTTGAAGGAAAAGATAGCCACAGGGTTACCCTGATATAGTTGGGACTAGTGGGAAAATTGTCTGGGACTTAATTAACCCTTTACTAAACAAGCAGATAGATAGACAGGTATTAGTGCTTTTAAAAAAAAAAGTAGAATAAAATAAATGTAATATTACAAAAACAATATAAAATAATAGCAGCTTAACATTAATATGAGACTTTTCCTGTAAATAATACAATAGATTAAAAAAAATGTAGCGCTTATACAGCCAGAAGTTATTAAAGTAATAATCACCTTTATAAATGATGCCAATATTTTAGCTAACACTTGGATAACACCATAGGTACCTATAAATAACAATACAACATAGTGCAGATTGTACAGATCCAAGATGTGTGTATATATATATATATATATCTTTATATATATATATATATATATATATATATATATATATAATGTGTATTTTAAACTCACAAACAGAGAGCTATAAACCTAGCTCTGGTGTAGATAACGTCCTGTTCCGTACAGGCGACCCACTCCTATAGGAGATATAAAGCCTTTTCCTGGGGACAATATGTAAGGTGAAAAATAGAGTAGCACAGTATGTGGTATCTTAATAAATCCAAATGCTAAATGGGTACTTACATACGTGGAGCCCCTATGGCTCTATGGTCTTGCGTTGTGCAGTTGGGGACTGCACTCCCTGGATGGGTAATAAGGATGAAGATAAACCGGGAACTAGGATATAAAATTGAACAATTTATACCGGAAAACGTTTCACTATTAGAATGTAGCTTCCTCAGCCAGATACAATGTTGAATGATTTAAAGCTACATATCTGTATGTCAAAAAAGCAGAAATAAATAAATAAAATACCCTTAGGTAAATAGCATATGATGTCTCTTTTATATAAACAGACTTTTGTGTGGTAATTTTGTTTTGACAATAATGTGTGAAAAATAAGTGTAAGAGAAGTAATTAAACTTAAATGGCTAGGAGCTCAGTTCATTTTGATAGTTACAGGTCAAAAAATAAAATTTCAACGTGGAAAATTTTTAGACGTTGATATGTTTGTCTAGAAAGCTTAATAGCCATCACAGTAAACTACATTTTGTTTGCATTTTTTTTTTCTTCTAATCAATGAGAATTTATATATACATATACAGGCCCTTTTGTCCTTAAAAAAAAAAAAACATATATAATATGTGTTAGTGCAATAAATGAGACCATGTATATTGCAGCTGAACTCAAACTGTAAAAAATGCACAAATTGCTTGTGTCCTTAAGTGCAAGACAGGCTTCTGAAGGTGTGTCCTTAAGGAGATAAAGATAAACTTAAAGTCTGCTTTTTTTCACTTTTCCTCCAAGATGGCTGTTAAAATGGATCTGCTGGTTATGCAGGCAATCATTCTGAGTGTAGCCAGGATGTGTAGCTCAAATTAAACATTCACCGTCAAGATTGAATTATATATTTGTAGTGTTTTAACTATATGGTGATAGCATTGTTAATAAAATGTTATTTTGTAAATAAAATGTAATCAACTGTATTGGAGTTTGAGTGCCTGTGAGAGGCACAGTTTTTAACAAACTGCTCTGAAATTGTTTGACCGTAAACCAGGGGAATGGTTTAAACTGACTTTAGAATAAACATTTTTTCAGATTTTAGAATTTAGTTTAAGTAAATCGCAATAGATAACATGGTTAGCCAGTGCTCTAATATATCTTTATAGACATGTGCATGTGAGTAAGTTCTGCTCATTATCATATTCCTGCAATTTTATACATTTCTATTTCATCTTTCTTTTTGCTACTAGTTGCAACAGCTTGAAACCATTCCAGGAATCTCCATTCTACCATGCGGCACAGTGAGTGTCTTACACTGGTCTTTTTTTCACATACAATATAAAATATGTTAATATAGACCAAAGAATGACTCACTTTGAGATAGTATGACAGAATGGCAGTAAGTGTCTGTAAACAGTGCAACCCTTTAAAGGTGCTCAATGTCTAATGCATTAACAATTGGTGCATTATTAAATCAAATACATACATTAAAATGAATATAGATGCGGTCATAGATGAAATCACATTAACACTAATAAAGCGTTGTAAGCGTTAAATGCAATTCTAGTTCTGCTTTAGTTATTTGGGGTACTAGTTACATATGTTTGCATAATTGTTCTTTGTTCATTTGGAATAATAGAAACAATGGTGCAATTAAGTTTTTTAAAAATCATTCAATGGTAAAAAGATATTATTGAACAAGCGGTGGAGTTTGGTGAAAAGGATTAGGAATAAAGGTGCCAAAAAATATTATTTTTATTTTCATTAACAATCTTCCTGGTAGCTAACAGCTTAAAGGAACAGCCCAAGCACCATAGTCATACGGTGGAGCTAACACCCTAGACACTCCTGCATATAATTAAAAATAAATAACTATATTCATTCCTTTTTATTTATTATTTTTTGGTTGCTTCGCCATGCCTGTACTTCAGATGCATATTTTAACTCCCACCAGCCATTGCTGGATTCTGTTTTGGCATTATAGTAGTTATAGTCCAACAGGGGCAGGCAACCCCTTGCACGACTGCATGAATCTCTATATGCTGCCATTACTAGCCCTGAACTACTTAAGGCTGTGTGACAACCACAGGGAAAAAAAAACTGTCAACCTGGTGGTTAGCACTCTGTGTGCTTTCATGCCTTAAACTTGTCTTAAAAGGACACTCTAAGCACCCGACCCACTACAGCTTAATGTTGTGTTGGCGCTAGGGGAAGATGTGAACTGCTTATCTGAACATGTCTCTTGCAGGTGCCTCCAACCCTAAGGGCAGGTCCTGCAGGACTACTAATGGGAACTGCGTTCCTGCTGTGGAAAAAGTGCAGGAACACTGTTCCCACACATTTCTGCAGGACTCAAGCCCTGCTTACATTGCTTTCTAGGGACACCTCTAGATGCCCTTCCTGGTGCAGTTCTGCAATCTTCACAGGAATAGTGTTAAAGCATCTTCACGATCAGCATGAAGATGCAGAAAGCTCCCAATATAGATGCAGTAAGCTCCCAATATAGATGCAGTGAGCTAATTCTTCCCTATGTGGAGATGTTGTTTGGAGCAGCAAAGCAATGTATGCACAACAGCCGTTATTGCTCCCCCTTAGGATTGGCTGACAGGTCCGAATATATACACTATATATCTGTTTCTGCATTGTATTCAGCTATACTAGATAAATGTCTGTGGTAATAACAATGTCTCTCTCTCAAAACCTTTATAATCATATCTCAGATAATATGTTATAATTAGCCATCTTGGACTGAGAAGTTATAAATATACACAGATTAGTCACATACATGTAACAAAGATCAATTCATTTTTTTTTAGTTTTGTTTAAAGGTTAGTTTTAGATAAAGCTGTAACATTCTTTTAAATGAAATATGTATTGGTCTATATGTATATTTTACATTCAATTTTTTTAATTAATATTTTATTAGTAGAGGTAGTATATTTGAATCAATACATTTTGTATAGCATATCTTGATGCTATGTTTTATAAAGTATTTAGAAACATTTGTAATTTAATTTGTTTTAATGTATTTTTGTATTTTTTAAATCTTTTCTACTTAGAGTCTATTTGGATAACAATACAAGACAATTTAAAGTAAGATTATTCACAAAACTTATTTACCCAGAAAATGTATTTTGCATTTGTATCACTTTGACTCCTGGCTTGACTCCTTACACTGGGGAGAGGGAATACTCTCCAGATACTGCCCTCTCCTTGGCACATTATAAGAAAGAATTAACACTTCTGAATTATCAGTGTTAGTTGTGTAAATCCTTGAAGGGATTGAGAGCACAGGGCTAATCCGCCTCCAGAACAGTTAACCTATAAACACAATCCAGATTGGACAAAATTGACAATGTTTATACATAAGTGTTAAATCCTTGTTTTCAATGCAGGGGAGGATGGGGCTGGTCACTGGTTGCTGAGGAGATTCCTGGTATATGTCAACTATCTCTTTGATTTCAAACTGGAGAATAATGCTCTAGCCAACAAAACCATTACAGTAAAACTTAGTTGTATAATTCTGTTTGGGTGATAAATTTCACCAACAACATTCTCACATTCTCAAACATTTCATAATTTTTTATTTTTTTTAAAGAAATGTTATTAAGTTATGTTTTATCTTGGCAGATCTTGGGCACCTTAGTTTTTGCCCAGGCTGTCACATTATATGGGTTTGGAGTAGCAATGTTACTGCAATTCTCAGGTTAAAATTTAGTGAATATCCCTTATTTTTGGAACTAAGATTATCCCTACAATATCTATTCCTCTTGATTCTTTCTGGACGATTGACTATGACTATGTCACCAATATTGTTTTATATACTCTTATCCTCATTTAGTCAATACGTTATATTTTTGGTTTTGTACTCTACCTTCTATTTCTCTATATAGTGTTATAGTGTTTTTTTTTTTCTAAATCAAGAATATTACATTTAATTAATTTTGTTTTACTTTAAAGCTCAGTGCAAATATATATCATAGTAGTCACTTATTACTTGATATATCGTATTAGGACTATAAAAAAATATACCCTCCCCTCTTCTCTCCCTCCTTCCCCCCTTCCCCTCCCCCCCGCTGTCAATCAGGGAATTCCGCACAAGTCTTTACCGTAAAACGTTCCTATCGATATTATTATCATCTACTGCTGTGGCCCAACTTCTCTAAATATGAACTCAATAAGGTGGATTTCTCTACTTGTTTCCACAAGCCTCTCTCTATTCTTGATTTTATAGTGTGTTTTGACTATATTTAAAGGGGCACTATAGTCACCAGAACTACAGCTTATTGAATTTGTTCTGTTGAGTAGAATCATTACCTTCAAGCTTTTTGCTGTAAACACTGCTTGTTTCAGAGAAAATGCAGTGTTTACATTACAGCCTAGTGATAACTTCACTGGCCACTCCTCGGATGGCTGTTAGAGATCCTTCCAGGGTCATGGCTGACTGAAATGCATCCAAACATTCAGTGTCTCCTCCCTCTGCATGTAGACACTGAACTTTCCTCATAGGGATTCATTGACTCAATTCATCTCTATGAGGAGATGCTGATTGGCCAGGGTTGTGTTTGAATTGTGCTGGCTCTGTCCCTGATCTGCCTCCTTGTCAGTCTTAGTCAATCCTATGGAGAAGCATTGTGATTGGATCAGGCCACCACTATCTGATGATGTCAGAAGTCAGAGGAAGTTCACAGGCAGAGGCAGCAGCTTTAGACTTGAATACAAGTAAGATGTTATTATCTTTAGTGAGGCAAAGGTAGCCAAGAGGGCTAGATAGTGGTTTTAACACTTTAGTGTCAGAAATACATGTTTGTGTTCCTGACCCTATAGTGCTCCTTTAAATTATGTATTACTTTATTGATATAACTTAATGAGTACATACATTCTTCTTTCTCAATTGATTTAGATCTATTTGCCATTTATCAAGGACTTTTATTTTAAGTTTTTTTCCATGCCTTCTATTAGCCTAGTAATAGGTGAAACTACTAGTTTTCTTTTCATGTTTTGTTATAATATCATTTGGGGGGCATATTTCACTACTGATATATCTATATATATTTTAAATATTTTTGTTTTGGTAATTTATGATATTTGCTACTAACTCTCCTCTATTTTTGTATAGCTCGTTTCTAGTTGTTACCCCCCGTTTTTGAGTGTTTCTTAAGTTGACATATTAACTTAAAGGGCAGTTTATTTGTGAAAAATGCAAAAAAACTAATATGAACGCCATGTTTGGCCAGGGTTTGTGACTATGTGGTTACAAAAAAGACTGGACATATGCCATTTTCAATACTCTAGGTTCTACTTTTGCAAATGGTATGCCATAATAGGGGTTAATTTTCATGCCTGGGCTGCCATACAGTCTCAAAGAAACATAGGTCCTGCAAACCATTTTGGCAAATTTCAATTTTTTTAAAAACTGAAAAGGGGGAAAGCCCTATATTTGGCCCTGTAATCTTACAATACCCCATAAAACCTGTAGGTAGGGGTACTGTTATATTTGTGAGACATCACTGAACACAAATATGTTTGTTATTGCAGTTAATGCTAAAAGTATTATGACATTCACAGTTAAAATGCTATACAGAACTAGGCATTAAACAACATTTCTTAATTTCTCACATTTTGTATTCATATTAAATTGGGTTCCATATAGAAATATTTGATGTGAAATGAAAGCCCTATTTCCCCTAAATAACATGATTTCTAATAAGTGTGGGTGCACTTAATATGAAAGGGGTAAGTTATGATTGAACAGACATATAGCTCAAACTTCAGGTTTTGTTTTGATTAGAACTTTTACAACTGGCTTCGTCCTTAACACCTTCAGGACGGAGTCAATTGTACATGTTTGATCCAAACAAAATGTAAACAAAAGCTTAAATTTGAGCTATTTGTCTGTTTAACCGTAATTAACCCCTTTCATATTAAGTGTACCCACACTTATTATATATAATTTTGTTCAGGAGAAACAGAGCTTTCATTTTACATTGTGTGTGTGTGTGTGTATATCACTCCTAGGACTTCAGAAATATGTTGAAAAAATTATCTTTATTCAGGCATCAGCCTAGGTGGATCAACGTTTCAGTTCACTAATGGAACTTACGTCAGGATACAGTGCTGTACAATAAACAGTGCTTAAATAACATAACAGTAATGAATACATTGTATACAGCCTGTGTACTTACAATTAACCCCTGGAATGTAGCCAGCTGGTGTGTGAATATCATGATTAAAATGTACCCTGTTCAGCTGAAATCGCTGGTGAAACAAGCTAGAATGATTTTTTTGTGTTCCACTAGTTGGCATGGTTACAAGTTGGAACACAAGGGGGCGTGTGTATAGAGCACAGCTGGGAGCCGATCGTGTGTTGCCGGCTGTGTGGGGACTAGTAGTACCGATCACTATGTATATCGTGCTTGGGATAGGGCTAGACTGGGAAGATCTGGGTGAATATTAAAGTATAGTGGTGCCCACGATCAAAGAAACGATCATATAGGGGATAAAGACAATTGGCATATGCAGTGTTAAATTCTGCTGGGGTACCGTTGTAATAGTGGTGTGGTGGACAGATATGTTGAAAGCATAGCAGTCTGTATGGGCATATGGATAACAATACATTTCGTAAAAGCAGACATGTAAATATGTGGCGTATATTGAAAGAATGCGATGTCAGTGTGTAGACAGAGCTCGGATGAGCAGAGCTAAGGGGGCATGTGGGATAAAAGGAAGGAGGACCAAAACAGCTGTTTAGCAGAGGGGCCACTAAGTGGGTAATAGCAAAGAAGTGTACAGAGATAAATAGAGATACACAGTAGCCTAGTACTAAAGTAAAAAGTAAACATAAACATAATGCCCAGGGTTGGATATAGATAAATCAACATTTAGTACACAATTGAATAAGTGTATAGAGACCATTCTGCAAGGGGAAAACGAACACAGGGGTAGTACTGCTAGGCTAATTGTGTATATTACAGAGTATACAAGTAAATGTGTAGCTGATACGGGATATATGTAGTATGTTTAAGCCAGACAAGGAAAAATAACCAAAGAAAACTAACAGTAGTAGCTAAGTAGCTGGAACTGCATTTAAATTAAATTGGTAATGCAAATGGGCATGCAACACATGAAGTAATACATGCAATAATACAAAACTCATCGTAGATACTAGAAGTGTACTGTATTAGATATCTTAGCCGTATAGACAATATTCAATAAGTAACATTAACGAGCAGAGTATATATTATACTGCCAGAGAGAGATTAGCTTGCTCCATCTGGTGATATATTGATAGTCCATATATAGATCAAGTTCAAAAGGCCAAATATATAGTAGTCATATTGGTCTTAATGAGATGATCATAGAAATATCCTAAGGAGTACTTCTCATTAAGTCCTCTAGAGAAAACAGTGTCGAGAGTCTTAATCCAGTATAGTTCTTTCTGAAGAAGTTTCTTGCGGCCAACGCCCCTTAGTGGCAAAGGTATGTGGTCGATTGCCGTGAATTTCATGGTGGGTAGTGGATAATTGAGTTCAAGAAAGTGTTTGGCCACATGTAGGTCAGAGCTTTTGTCTCTGTAAGCCACCCGTATACTCGAGCGGTGGTTACGAATTCTCTCTCGTAGTGGCAAATCGGTTTTCCCTATGTATGCCAGACCACAGGGACAAAGAAGTTTATATACAACAAAGTCACTTGTACAGGTTAGTTGATGGCGAATAATGTATTTCTTCCCAGTATGGGGGTGTGTGAAGGTCTTAGTAGGGATCATGTGACAACATGTCATACACCCCAGGTATCTGTAGCATCCTAGGTTCTGGTGTTTAGACTGGATTGTAGCAGTGAGTAGGGTTTGTTTTGACTAATAAGTCTTTTAGATTGTTACCTCTGCGGTAGCACATCATGGGTGGGTTTTTGAACAATTCTGGAAGTGTATCGTCGTTCTTCATAATTCTCCAATTACGATCCAGAGTACTCTTGAGGTGGTGTGACCCTGTAGTAAAAGTCGTGGGAAAGATGAGTCTTTCAGATTTAGATATATATATCTATATATCTCAATTAAGTTGAATAAAAACTAAAAAAGTGTGATAAATTAATATTTTAGTTTTTAGTTTTGTGTGGCATTTTAACTGTGATGGCCATAATACTGTTAGGGATTACTGCAATAAAATACACATATTTGTATCCAGCGATGTCACATGAGTACACCAGTACCCCCCATGAACAGGTTTTATGGTGATTGGAAAGTTACAGGATCAAATATAGCACTTTTCATTTTTCAGTTTATACACATTAAAATCTACGTATCGTAGTCCAGGAATGAGAATTACCCCCAATCAATATTTCCTTGTAGTAGTACAACTGTGAAAATTATTTAGTGCTGATTATATTGTATTTTGTATTACAGAGACACCCGACTTCAAATCTTACAGAAGTCTTTGGAAGCATATAAATGCAATATATATGCTGTTTGATTAAATTTCTCCGTGATTCCAATGATTCAAATATGTTGATTTCTCTTCTTTCAGCTTGACTGAATTGTCAGATTAATCCAATGAAAAGGAAAACTAATCTTTTTTAATTACGTATAATAAACATATTTTGTGCAAACTGAAATAATATGTCCTGTCTTTATTTATCACAATGGAATTTGGTGACATTTCAAGTTGGTGGGGCCCCAGCATGGACACATGGATTTTACTCTGTCTTATTTGTTCCTGAATTTTTTCAATTATGATTAAGAATACATCTACAACCTCTAAAATATGCGGACACTCCCATATATAGGGAATAAATCATATATAAATATTCTTTTTATTTAGTAAAAAAAATAGGGCATGCCATGCTGAGGCTAAACTCTCCATTACATGTGTAATGTAGTGTAAAATGGTTTGGATGCACAGGGCTGGTGTATTTGTAAGTGAAGCAGAGGAGGGGATGTTAAGTCAAGGCAGTGTGGGTAATAAAATGGAAGGACATAGATAGACGAGGGGCACTGTAGGATCTCCACAGTGTCAAATCAGTTTGAGACAGTCACCAACCTACACCCAGCAGCACCTAGCTTGACTATCAACCTCCAAGTAAATTAGCATTGAAGAATTAAAAAAAAAAAAAAATAGCCCCATTCATTGCCTGTGGTAGGACATTATTGTAAGACACCTTTTCTTCCTCTGCTCACTTCTGTGCCTCCAGACTCTCTCATTAACTGTGGAAGTGGCAGCAGTGAGAGCTTTACAGGAGTGTGTGCAGGGCTATGACAGTCACATCATATCCCCAGTGGATTTCCTTTAATTGGTGTTTGGGGAGACACTAATGCTGTAGCTGCTCCTGTCACTATCTGAGGTTTTGGACTGCAGACAGGGTTATGTTAATTAATATTAAAGAATCAATGATTTTTTAAGTGGTATCTGCTTTACTAGACAGAACATTCTTGTAGGCTTGGGAAAGAGCTAGGGAGAGTTAAGCAACGCTAAGCTATGGCGTACCAAAATGGAGCTGGTGGAGCACTCTGGAGAGAGCAGAACACACTGTGATGGGAGACAGAGGGGACAAAATGTGTAACTAACATGTCAGGTACGTATGCAACTCTGCCCTTTGGGGCTAACAGCATGTGGAAGCCCTAAATGGTAGGCCGGTAGGCAGGCCCATCTTTTAGAATTGCATATTTGCCACCAAAAAGAGGCATTAGGATATGACAGGTGGCTGTCAGACAGTCAATGAGGGTTATACACACCACTTCTCATAGGATTTAATTTTATTTTGATTAACAACTATTTTTTTTTTTTTTTAAACTCACTTGCAGCAATATTGGGGAACAATAAAAGGGAAGCGTAATGACTAACACAGTACTAACAATTAAAAGGACATAAGCAACTCATGTTGGCTCAAACAGACATATCTGAATATTGTTGAGTTTAATGGTAAAAACCCCCATGTTAGAATGTAATGTTTCCCTTGTTTTTTATTGTACAGCCAGCAAAGGTTTTTTTTTTGTTTGTTTTTTAATATTGGCATGCTGGCGCTAGCACTGACATCAGGCAACTAGTTCTTCAAATTATTGTTTAGGTGCCTAAAAGAAAGGTGAATGAAATTTGTGAATGCACTTTGAGCTGGATGCATTAAGTCCAAATTTAGTTTAAAATTGGTGCCTTGTCATTTTTCGGGCATGATGATGTAGCGGACGCATTCAAATGCTGCTCACGGGTCGGACGCTGACCGCTGAAACGAGGAGTAAGGTTGAAAGACGGAGAAAGAGAGTCCTTTCCATGCTGGTATCAACAATACATGCTATCTGGAAGGCATGGCAATAGAATTGGGGGATACTTTCAGCCTATGTTGCATGGGTATTGGACTTGAAAATGGACGATCAACAGCAGAGAAGTAGAGTTGAAAAAGGACACTAATTAACCAACTCAACTAAATTGATTCATTTTTTTATTCTTCTCTCATCTTGAGAGTCACAAGTGTTAATTAAGATTCGACATGAGAGATTTAGTCACAAATTATAACACTTTAAGTAATTCAATTCTAATAGGAGATAGAAGGGGATTATCTAAGATTAGACCGACAAATAAGATGCACAATATTAGCCAATGATTATCCATTAAATTAAATACTCACGTAAATGTATGATTATATAAATTACTAGGAATTTTTGAAAAAAAAGGAAGAAGTGGGGAAGGGGTAAGGAAGAAGAAGGGGAGCATAAAGGAGAAATATATCACTTAATGTTTATGATACACACCTAAAATACACTTCACGTATATAAATTTTAAACCTATAGAATATCACAATTACTCTCTATTGCAGATTATTTTTAAAGTTTATTATTTATTTTACTATTATTATTTTTAAAAGATAAGAAAGAAATTGGTTTTGGGACTAGTTAAATGATAATTTAATAATAATTGTACATATGTATGTTAAAAGATGTTATTGAACCTAATACAGTTATTAATGCTCTTAGAAAACGGGATCTCAAAGTTGAGATGCCCCACCCCCAAGAAAAAATAGTTAAAACTTAATCACTCTTAATCTTTAAATATTCCTGTTGAAAGATAAATATTCAATCTACAATATTTAGCGTTCAGACTAATTCCCTGCGGCAGCAGCAGGGGGAGAGCTGAAAAATATAACTTCAAACAGCTCTTGGTACGTGTGTATGTGTATGTATGGTACTATTGCTAACTTCATTTTTTAATACCCATTATATTAATATTTGCACACATCCTGTTAATTCACAGGAGAAGAATCAGCCTTTTTTCTTGCTATTCACTGATCATGCTGTTGAAACCTTTATTGATCTAGTCAAGAAAGATGTGAATAATCTTACCCAGCACAGACAAATAAGAAATAAATATACACACCCTAATAATTTAACAAGGCCATGAAAACACTTCAAAAAAATCAAGATCTGGTTATTAAACAGGCAGACAATGGGGTGATATAGACATGTTGGATAAGATTGATTACATCAAGGAAATAACTAGACAGTTAAATGATGGTGACGCATATAAAAAAGTACAAGTTGATCCTACACTAGCTTTGAAAAATAAGATTGATGCTATACTGAAAGGAGCATCAGATAACATCATTGACAAACAACTGTTTAAATATCTCACTGTTGATTCACCTGTAGTACCTGTATTACACACATTGCCAAAATCCATAATGATTGATCCACCTGGGAGACCCTTTGCCATGGGTATAGGTTCCTTACTGTCCCCATTGGTGACATTTCTAGATCAATTAACTAGAGCTTATATTACACAAATAAAATCTTATGTGAGAGATACTACAGAAGTTCTTAACAAATTAAAGACAGTGGATAGTGTACAGAATATGATTTTAGTGACTTTTGATGTAAATGGTTTATATACCTCTATTCCTCATGTATTGAGGTATTGATGCCATGGGTGAAACACTCGAACATTTGGGTTTTGGGTCCATCATTCTTTTTTTTTAATGCAATGGTTGACTCTGGTCATGACGCATGGGCGTCCGCAGGAATTTTTCCAGGGGGGGGCATAATTGTAATGACATCCATGCTTGGTACCTTTTTGACAGTGTCATGAAAGGGAAGGGGCATAGCCATTATCACATAAAGCCAGGGTGAATAGCGTTTTCACAACTATGGTATCAGGAATATATGTTTGTATTCCTGACACTATAGTGTTCCTTTAAGCAAATTAAAGGACATTTCTGGTCACCATAACAACTTCACCTAAATGAAAATGCTATGATGCCAAGAAGCCCCTGGGTGCTCGCTTTCCTTTAAGGGGTTAAATCGCTCTCAAATGGTTTAACCCCAAAGGCTTCCTCCAGCTCCAGGTCGCTCAGTGGTATTCGGCTTCTGAAACAGAGTGTCAGGAAGTGCAGATTGACGTCAGGCATGAGTGCCGCTGATTGGCTACAGTGGACAGTTGACGCTCTAAGCCAATCGCTAGTTCCCAGTTCATAAAATATTTTTACTTTTTTATGAATGGGGAGCTACTGATTGGCTTAGAGTGCCAGCTGACCGCTCTAGCCAATCAGCAACACCCCTACCCAATGGCACTCTGTGCTTCCTGACACTCAATAAATAAAAGTGAACACATTAATACTGATATTTTTTTACCTTTGGAGATGAGAAGGTCCAGCGTTTCCCTGCCTGGCCCAGG